AGCTTCTTAGTGCAGTGCTTTAACCCGCTGCGCCACCAGGGAGGGGCCGGTACCACAAACTTTTAATATTTTCAATTAACAAGTCTTGTAACAAAAGAAAAAATGGTTTGCTTGCTTTTTACTTTTCTGTCAATTTACATACCAAATTGTGGATCAAAAAAAAAAAATGCTTAGAAACCACTTATAGAACATTCTTGACTTATTTCACAAGTGACAGGCAGGCAAGCCCACATGTCTGCCTGCCTATCTATGTCTACCAAGAATCTTATCATTTCCATGTTGACAGGTATCCACAGAAGTGAAATTAAAGGAGTCCTAATAACACTGGCCTTGGGATATAAGTACCTTCTAAGAGAAACACACTGAGTGAAGTATGCTGGTTGTAGCAGATGCTCGCCAAGTGCTTGTGGCAGGAATAGTGGAAGCATGATTTCCCTAGTGCAGCGGAGTGGCCTATGGAGATGTCTGTGTTGTGATGATCAAGACCAAAAATGTACAGGTCCATATCTTATCTTCTTTTTCAGAGGCATTCTCTATGCGGAGACCTGATTGACCTAGTACCATTTACTGAATAGAACATTCCTAGTAGCATTTTTTTGGGCTATGATGGGAGAGATTTTAATTTACTTACCCAATTACTTTATTGTTTATGAATTTGAATGATAAAATCTACTTAGCCTAAACAAATTTGATACACCATATTTTTACTAGGAAACTTTGTATCACATAAGAAGTTTTCTTTGTATTGTTTTTTAAAAGTGTGTTCTCTACTTTTAGCAATATATATGTAAAATATGTATATATGTAAAATATTACATAAAATGCATTCCCTGGCTCTTTTGGTTATTGTTGGGTCAAACAGGTTATAGGTGAGTTTTTTGTTTTGTTGATTCACTTCACTGTTTTACTGCAATTTCTATCATCATCAATGAATCACTTAACTCACTTATTTTCCATCAACATTACTCAGGTTTCTCTTATTTTTTTCCCCCTTTAACTTATTGGGCTAGATTACCTAATGTAATACTTTTTATAAAATTCCAAGATATACTTGGGGGAAAAAAGAGCAAATGCTTGAATTGCTTGTTAAGTGTATTGTTTAAATATCCCAAAAGCTTACTAAATTTTCTGCCAATCACTGATGTGCCTTGTTAAAATCTGCCTTTATGTAATTATTGATTTTATTATGTAATTTTGACATATGCTAGGTACATACCAATTTGAAGTTGTGTAGCTTCTAGGTAATTTACATGATTTACCAGTATGTGGTAACTGATCTCTGGTCATGACATTTACCTAAGAATTTGTCATGTATGATTAACATGCTTCCCTGGCCTTGTTTGGTTAGTATTGTTGTATCTCATTCTATTCCTTTACTTTCAACCTTTGATGTTTTTAAGTTTTTTTTTTAAAGATTTATTTATTCATGTAGAACTGGGGTACAGGCCAGAGATGCTGAGGGTGAGAGGATTCACCAGGGATAGAGTGGGGAGCAGAACAGGCAGATCAACGAGGTACACTGCTGAGGGGAGCAGTGGGGGGGTCAGGAGAGGTCTGCCATGCCATGTGGATCACTTCCGGGGCAGGCGGGGATCGAACTCATACGGTAGTGGCTTAAGCTTCTTAGTGCAGTGCTTTAACCCGCTGCGCCACCAGGGAGGGCCCTTGAGCTTTAAGTTTTTTAAAACAGTGTAATAGGCAAATCCTATATTTATAACCATGTCAGAATTTCTGTCTTTTAATTGGCAGTTCATTTAACATAATTACTTAAATTATTTATTTTTGCCATTTTATTTTGGGCTTTCTATTTCTCATGGTTTCTATTTCTTCCCATTCTGATTTGTAAGCTGTAACATTCTATTTCTCACTCTGAATCTTTTGAACATACATAGCTTGATTCAAAAGTCTACAGATCATCAATTTAAAATATAACAGCCTTGGCCTTGGGATGTTTTAAGTTTCAACAATTTTTGTTATGGCACTGCTAATTTATTCTGACTTACTTCCTTTCTTTGTTCATTGCTTTTTAAAATCTCATTTCTTCTGTGCTCTTTTTTCTTATTTCTGAATGATAAACTTTAGAACTGTACAGTTAAATTTAAGTTAAACTAAATAAAAAACTTAACAGTTAAGTACTTTAAAAAAGTTAGTAGCACTAGTAGGCACATTTCAAGTATTCCATAGCTACATATGGATAGTGGCTACTATACTGGACAACACTGCTTTAGAAGAGCCTATAACAAGGGTCTACTGAAAACAAACATAATACTTCTTTGTCTTCCCAAACTTAATAGCTGTCAGTCTAGTTATTGTTCCACTGTAAATAATCTCAAGCAGCCTCTGGTTACTTCTGCTTCTTGTCTTTGATATTTTACCAAAATGTGTCTTAGGTGTGTAATTTTCCTATTTAGTAGATGCAGGTCCTTATTGTGTCACCTAAGTCTGAGATTTGTTTTTAATAGATTCTATAAAATTCTCAGTCAGCTTTAGAATATGGACCGATAAAGTGATTTTATTGCTGCAGTAGAGTAGAGAAACTATTGGCTCTGAAGCTCAACAGACATAGATTTAGATTGTGCCTCGATTACTCATTTCCTTTGTGACTGGAGCAAATTTGAATTTGTTTTCCCTATTTTAAGCTGGGAATCAAACAAGGTGCTGGGAAGCCTCTTTGGTACCCCTGGGGTTATGTCTCAGCACTACCTCAGTGCTTTCATAGCAACAGCCTGAATTAGATCCCTGGCCAGCGGGTGACCCACATGGCGCAGCAGACCTTTCCTGTCTTGCCCGTTGCTCCCCTCAACAGTGTATTTAGTAAATCTACCTGTTCTGCTCCTCACTATCTCTAGTGACTCCTCTTACTTCATACACCTCTACACAAAAATAAATAAAATAAAAATAAAGTAATAATAAAAAGAAATAAACTGCTAGGAACATCACTTTTGCTTAGTAACTACAGAATATGCAGTCTTCCAAACCTTCATTGCAGCCCCATTGGGGTCTTACGGCTGGCAAAAGGCTCTTGTGAGTATCTAAAAAAGTACACATCAGCCCTTTGCTGATGTAAGAATTTTCTCAGATTTTACTTGTGGGGCGGGCATTTTGCCTAAGAATAAACTAAAGTAAAAACTAAAACAAAATAATTTAGAAGTAGAAAAAGTAGGCCTCGATATTCTATTACATTAATTCTGAAAATTGATTTGCATGAAGGTGGATCTGAAAACATCACTTGAGAAAATTGGGTCAGGTGTCCTGGCAGTATTTCCCACAAGAAAACTACAGAAGAGCAACTACAGATTCAGGTATAATTACCTGTACATATTGTCAGACATTAATTAACTTTTTATTTAAAGAACAAATCCCTAAACAGCTCAAAAGCTTGCTGATTTGACAAGACTCTTTTCTACTTTTAAGAGTAGATAGCCAAAACATACACTCCACAGAGGCCTTAACACTCCCCAAACCATTTTATGCTGCCTTGTCACTTCTCCCTGATAGTTTTTCCTTTAAGTACTTTCCCCAAGCTCCTCTACTCAACTGTTTCTAGTATTCCCAGTGTTGTACTTGACCTTTTCAGGCCTTTCTCTAGTCTGAAAACAAGCTGATATGCTCTTGAATTTCTAATTAGCAATATTGGAAATTGTATTGGCTGAGATGATTCAGTACCTCAATAATGAGATTATGGAATGACCCATTTAACTGACTTTTCTGTTTAACTAGTGAAATCTTTGTTTTAACCTTGTCCTGAAAATCTCCAACTTAGTGTCAGTTGACTTATTTGTCTGCCAACTTGACAAAGGGATTGTCTCATTAAGATTAAACACAGTTGGTCCTCCCTAGTGGCGCAGCGGATTAAAGCACAGCACTGAGAAGCTAAAGCCACTTTCGCATGAGTTCGATCCCTGCCTGCCCCGGAGGAGATCCACATGGCCTGGCAGACCTCTCCTGACCTGCACGCTGCTCCCCCCAGCAGTGTACTTTGTCGATCTGCCTGTTCTGCTCCCCACTCTGTCTCTGGTGAAGCCTCTTGCCACCCCTGCCTCTGGCCTGTATGTACTCTGTTCTGTATGCACAAATAAAAAATAAATAAATCCTAAAAAAAAAAAAAAAAAAAAAATTAAACACAGTAACTCCTGGCCTAGAACTCGTGTCCAGCTGACATTTGAACAAACAGACTGAAAAATAGCACAATAAGGGCAAAAACAGTACTTTCTTGGTAGAAAGAAACAGTAGTATCTATTTCCATCCTGTCTCTCTCAAAGTAAGTTTTGTTGCTCAGGGTCCTGGGCAGCCAATATTCAGTGTCACAACAAAAAACAAAAGGTGAATCTTATTTTCATAGAACAAGATAATAAAATATTATTAAGTATAGTAATATAGGTAACTGCAATAATATAATAAGTTATTAAAGATTAGATTCTAGAAGCCCACTAAAAAGGTTTGATCACTTAAGAGACTCATTTATAACCATAAGAGTATCTACTATATTTGTAATTTCAAATTTGAAAAATAATGTAGTTGTATGGTCACGCAATTTTAATTGTAAATTTATGAATTATAATCGAACAGATATACTCACAGCTTGCATTTCTATATAGAAGAAATGGTTCATGAAGCTGAAATTCCAAGTCTTTATTCACTGGTTCAACTAGATTATGCATGTTCAGTCGATTCACAATAGTGAAACCATGGTACGGTGAGGCTGACCTTAGATTTAAAAGGAAAAAAAAAATCTGTAGTCACTGTTTAATGAGCAGAAATGTCGTCTACTTCATTTTTGCTCTTTCTCTCACACACACAAATGAATGACTTACTGTTTTATGCAACAGTATTAGCACTAAAAGCTGTAGACAAAAATGTTAAATCAGGGTTACCTTCCCTCATCACAGAAGCTTCCAAGTCTAAAGTCAATCAGAATAAAGGTACATGTTTTCACTAAGGTCATCAAGGCTCTCCTGATGTGTGTGCCCCTTGACTTCATCTTTTATACCTCTTCCCTTGTTCCTCCCATTCCAACAACATTGGGTTCCTTGCCACTTTCCCTACAGTTACGGTTCTACTTAAAGGCCACCTGCCCAGAATCTATAGTAATCGCATCTAGAGCCAGTCTTTGCTCAAATGTCACTTTCTCAGTGAGGCTTTACATGAACTATCCTCTTTAATGACAATAGCTCTAACCTTTCTTTCTCTACTAGAATGTAAACTCCATGCAAATAAGATGTTTTATTCAAATGTACCCTAAGATACACTAAATGTTTAACAAACATTGCTCAATGAAACTATTTTAAATATGGCACATGGTTAAATATAATGCCCACCATTACAATGAATTTTCTTGAACCAAACAGATCTTTCCCTAGAACTCCTCTGAGTTAGAGAGAAGACACCTTGAATCCTACAATAACCACCCTTGGTGGGAGGGGACTTCTTACATGATCCTTTGATACCTCTCACATATAATAACACTTAGTTTCTCATTCATTTCTCTTTACACAGAGGGAAGATATCAGAACCCAAGTCTACAATGATAAGGAAACAAACCTCAGACAGATTAAGGCCCAAAGTCACAAAAATCATGTAACCAGCATTGAGCTTTAGTCTTTTTGATTCCAGATTTAGGTTTTTTCTATACTAAGTTCTCTGCAAAGTGATCTAGCTTTCTAGTTCACATTTATCCAAAATACATAAAATGTTCTCATTATTTCCAAAATAATTTTTTAGCCTCCTTTTATTAAAATGATCTCACTCACTAAACTAAACTTCACATTTTCTATAATCAATGGATCAGTACTATCCTAAGACAATAAGGCCAAGAAAGTACTTTTCAAATATTATATAGCTATCAAGTTCTACTGGTATGCAACAGTTGAAGATTTTCTAGATTTCTACTGGTAATGAATGAAAAGCCTTACTTCTTTTTCTTAAGACTGATATATTTATGCATATAGAACTGGGGTGCAGGACAGAGGTGGAGGGTTGGTGAATGGACTCGCCAGAGACAGAGTAGGGAGAAGAACAGGCAGGTTGACAAAGTACACTGCTAAGGGGAGCAGTAGGCAAGCCAGGAGAGGTCTTGATGTGCCATGTGGGTCACTTCTGGGGCCGGGCACTGAACTGGGGACTGAACGTGCACTGAAGCAGCTGCATTTGGACTTTAACCTGTTGACGCCACTAGGGAGGGCCCTTCTCTTTCTTTTTTTAAAGAAAAGATGAATAACAGGGAACAATTCAACGGAGTGCTTGGAGTATAATATCAAAGCATTTTCATTTAAAGAAGAAAAAGATCTGTGCATTTAGATAATATCTCAAAGTTTTATATCAAAATCTACAAGACTATTGGCAGGTTCATGTTAATTACCATCAGTGGGATAAGGCAACCCTTAAAAGATAACTGACAATACGTGGGTAAGGGGGAAGGAACAAGAAACAGATGTTAGTAATCACCCCTGTGGAATCCCTAAGCTATAAAAACCAAGACCTAACAGGTATCCAAGAAAACAGGAATATCATGATTATCACTGTTTTGTAAATTGCCTTCAGGAAACAAGTGTAACCTAACAAATGTTGTAAATAGTAAGCCCATTTTAAGATAATGAATTTGTAGAAAAGTTAAAATTAAAAAATGTAAAATTATGAATAATTCAGGCTCTTCAAGGGACTGTCAAAACTAAAAATACATTTTACTAAAGACTGCATTTTCTAGAACTCTGGCTGGGAGGGTGTGGAAAGATGACAGGCCAAGGAAAACCACTCATTTAGTAATGTGGGACTGACCTCTTCACTACATGTTTTTTTAAAAGATTAATTTATTTATTTATATAGAACTGGGGTACAGGCCAGAGGAGCAAGGGGTGGTGAGAGGATTCACCAGAGACAGAGTGGGGAACAGAACAGACAGATTGAAGAAGTACACTGCTGAGGGGTGCAATGGGCAAGACAGGAGAGGTCTGCCACCCATGTGGACCACCTTGGGGCAGGGATCGCACTCGCACTGAAGCGTCTGGAGCCAGTTTGCAGTGCTGAGTCCTAACCCGTTGGGTCACCAGGGAGGGCCCTTAACTACATGATCTTATAGGCTAGTTGTGTATTACATTTTTTTTCAACTATCTTTTTTAAATGGAGGGAAGAGAAAAGCATCTATTTTAGCCTCATTCATTACTAGAAGTTTTCTATTTTGAAGCAGTTTTGCTAGGTCCTAAATAAGTTCTTGTTTTGGCTTTATTTTGAATGACAGGAAGGAACAAAGAAGGGATATATCTTGGTCAGGCTCTCACAGCTAGGGATACATGTAAGAGGACAAGTGGGAAGGATCCAAAGACAAACAGGGTAAACAACTTAATACTGTTCACCATTAGACTTTTAAAAAATATGTTTATCATGTTTTTAAAAAGGCTTACCTTCGATATACAAATAAGGTTCCCTCTATGTCAGTCTTCTCCTATAACAGACAATGAGTCAATTAGTTTTTTCTCCTGTAAACCAACCCCAAAGATCCCTAGAGGAGAAGATCCCATTGGGATCCCAACCCAGATAGTTCCTGTTTAAGATCAACCTATTTATTTTCCAACAGGTCAAATAAGTCTCTCATCCCACAAACCAATGTTAGCAGTTTTCTTCTGTATCCTTTTAATGCTATTAATGCATAAAGTATATGCAATGTTCAATCCAGCAACATACCTGTATCTCCAGAATTTTTTTCTTTTCTAAGGGTGAAAATCCTAGAATTTGCTCTCACTTTTTAAAACTAAAGAATTAAGTCAGATTTCTTTATTTTAAGGCTAAGGCCCTGAGTGCAATACTTTATTTACTTTTATCATTTATCAAAGTTGGTAGGGAAAAAAAAGACATTTTAACTACTTTGTTTTACTATTGGGGAGTTTGGTATATTTGTGTTTGTTTTTATTGGAACTTTGTTGAAGAATCATGAATGATAAGACTATACTTTGCCTTAAAGTAGTTATTATAATCTTACAAATAAAATTTTCAGCTTAAATGAAATGTTTTGATTGCAAAAGTACCCTCCATACCATGCTTCAACCAACTGTCACAAGAGTGTATTCAGGTTTTAAACAGTTACAGTGTTTTTTAGGAAAACAACCATCTTAGCTGCAGTTTATAGTCTAGATAGGAACGAAGTATTTTCATGTGATTAACAAATGAAACTAAATCTTGAATTTACTGGGACAAAATTAAAAATAATTAAAAAATACTATCATTTGGTTTCCTCCAATATTGTTCTAACTTAAGTATCAGTTCAAACTTTTCCTTTCTAAGGATTTAGAGGTCTCTTCTTATCTACCAAATAGAAAATGGGAATTAACTGTCTACAAGTGAGAGAAAACTTGCCCAAACAAAACACTGTGCAATTATAACTCACTTTAAAATGACAAAGATTTTGGTCCTGCTCTGTATGTCATGATCCAAATGAACAAAGGGTGGCAGCTTCTTTTTCAATTCTAGTTGTAACAGCTTGTATTTCATAATTAAAATAATTCCACAAATAAAATTCCAAAATACCAAAAATATGTGAAAAACCTGAACTAAAAGCATGTCAGTAATAAATTTCAGTCCCAAATTTGTACCATTTGCCTGCTGTCCATTTCACAAGTTCAAGATGTAAACCAAGAAGAGAAAAATGATTCACAACAATTCAAACTAAAACCACTATACTTAAAAAGAGCTATAATACTGTACTTTGTGGCTTTCCATATCTCCTCTTCCAAAGCAAAGAAGATAAAGTAAGGTGATTTAATCTGTGTTCGTTATTTAAAAATGACAAATGATTTTCCAAATTACTGATAGAAACATTTACAGATTATTTTCTAAGTGTAAAATCTTTAGTTGAATGAGTTAAGAAAGGCTAATTACTAGAAAATGGAAAAATATGTAAATAATTAAGCTTCAAATAAAGGCTAACAAGTAAGTGAAAAGAAAGACTAACACTTAGCCTCTCCAGTGCAAAAATGCCAAAAAGTACTGAGCCTGATGGGAGCGTTCAGGGGTGACATCACTACTGTCTAGCTGGAAACAGGCATTACAGGGTCTTTTCCCCAAAGGCTTCAAGGAAATCCAATCAACTGGCAAACCCTTTTCCTAAGTACCTTGAAATCTTTTCCCAAACTCTGGAAATACAATGTAGTGCGATTAAAACTGGACTTATCCCCACCCCAGCCTCTGCCAAGAATGGAAACTAATTGGATTTCAAGCTTTAAATCCAAATGACCTCTGTGAAGGGGGCTCCCATTTATGTCTCTGTCGCGGGAGGTGGGGTACGGAGTAACTTTATGGATTATGTAGCTGTAATTTACCTGGTAACTCCCAAAGCTTTAAACACAATCTTTCGTGCATCCTTCCGACCCCACTAGTTTCATACTCCGAACACATTTGCAAGGAAGGCAGGTCGCCTGCGTCCCCGGACCTGATCCTAAGGGCTTGATCCTCCTCCAATTCTTTCCTCTATCACCTTTTCCCCAGATGTTTTGGTTCTACATCTCTCGCTCCTCTCCCCTAGCCTTCCGCTCCACCGACACCAACCAGGCTCATCTCCAGCCCCGGCTTTGCCTCCACCATCCTGGCCTCCCACATCACCCCTAATCCCGCGCGGCTCCTTTAAGAGGCGGCAGTCGGACAGGCAGTCCTCAGCCGCCTGGCCACACTCACCCACTGGTTGGCCTTGGGGCAGAAGGTGTACAGAGCAACCTGGCCCGTGAGGTCTGCGATGCTGGTGATGTAGGGGTCGTGTTGCTTCAAGGCCGCTAGGCTCATCTCCTGTCCAGCTCGACTCAGCGACTCCATCTTGAATTCCGGAGCCGAGCCCCTCCGGCGGGGGCGGAGTCGAGGACAGGAAGGAGCCTTCGCGGCAAAGTTCCCCCAGTTGCGTCAGCGTCCTCAACTTCCGTCTCTCCTGCGGCCTCGCGGTGGGCGGTTCTACAGCTATTTTGTTCCGCTGCGCTCACATCCCCGACTTCGGGTTCCGGTGTGGAGTGAGGTACGCGTCGGATGTGCAGTTCCGGGTGTTGTCCACCGCTGTGTTATAGAGCTCGTAGGGTGTGTCCTCAGTGGTTTCCACCCTTTAAAATATCCCGACGTTGGGATTAAGATTACTTGAGAGGTTTCTCTGGGCTCCAGGGATTAGAAACTGGAGACCTACCTGGGCCCTTCCTGCTTCACACCCTAAGGCCCCAGGGCAGCTGAACTAAAACTGCATTGTGGTAGTGCAGGGTTTGGTTAGCCCAAGAAAGGAGGAAATGAACCACGAAATTACTCCAGATTTTGGATCTCACCAGATCCCACTTTCAAAGTTTGGTGCTGCTCAGAAGGAAATTTTTGACAAAAGCCGAACAAATCCGTCTGTATTAGTGTCTCTTGCTATCCGCGTTTATTTTCCTCATTTGAACCCTATGTAAATCTGTCTAGTATTGGAAGATCCTACAAAAGCTCAAGTTTGTAACTCTACTTTTAAAATTTTAAAAGGAGACCCACAAAGCTCTCGATCTTAGGGTGTCTGCACCTGGATTGAGATGTCTCTATTGAAGGTTGAAACCAGCTTTCAACTGATTCACCTCCTTATGGAGCTCTTAGCAGCGGTTCACTAAGGTGGAGAGTTCCAGACTATTTGGTCATTCATGAGCTATGATTATCAAGGAGTAAAGTCCTTAGGGTTTAAGGCTCGGAATACTCTGGCAGCTGGATGGAGCCTCAGTGACCTCCAAGCTTAGTGGAGTGCATCTGTAAGAAGGACATCCCTCTGCTGCTCACGCATCGCCATTTGTGAACCACTCCCAGTGATAATGGTTTTTCCATTACTGGAGATAACCTCACGGTTTTGAGAGTCGGCATAGTGCCCGGTAACACAACCTTTAGCATAAAGTATGTCTTTTGTTTGGGCTATTATGTGGCTGCTGTTTTGGAATTTAGGGCAGAAGAATGGATTTCAGCCCTGGATTATCTTATTTCCAACCAGTACCTTGGTTTGCTACTGGTTTCCATAGAGATAGGAGTGGGTCTGGACAATTTAAAAAGTGATCCTGTCAAGAGATTTACACTCTCCTGCCGATGTATCCTACAAGCTTTTTCTGAAGAGGCTTTGCTTATTATTTCAGAGCATAGAAGGCCAATACAGCTATTTGGTCCAACACTGGAAAAAGAAACAATAACTCATTCTTTCAGCAAACATCTAGTGAACATTTTTAAAGTGTTTGGTAATAGCTAAAAGTAATACAATGTGGAGACTATAGACAATATGGAGACTATACAGATCCCACCCCCTTTGCTAAAATATATTTTCTTTGTATTGAACATGCCCCAAAGAAATAGAATTTTTTTGAAAGAAAAAAACCCATCTGATATGAATACCTGTGGACCTCCAGGCAATTCTCAATATGGGAGACAAAAAAAAAAAAAAAAAAAAGACCTTATTGATGATTTGTTAACCACTAACACGCCTTTAAAAAGCACAGGCTTAAAACCCTTTGTCCCTGGCTCCAGAGTGAAGAAAACCTAGGAAAGTGGTGACTCAGAGATTAAAACCCTTAAAACCCTTTGTCCCTGGCTCCAGAGTGAAGAAAACCTAGGAAAGTGGTGACTCAGAGATTATAACCCATTGGTCTTATGAATTTGCTGAAGGCTTGAAATATTTGCTTAAGAAAAAGGCAAAGACTTAATTTTTTTCCTTATAATTTCTGTTGTAAGATATCATAGGATAAGCTTCCTGCTTAACATTGGAAGCTCTGAGATAAGTCTGTTAGCCATGGTAATTGCTCTAACTAAACTTTTTTTCTCCTTCCAAAGCCTAAGGTATGTGGGATGGCATCTGAACCATGTAACATTTGCTGTCATCACTCTCTAACTTTTCAAATTTAGTTTTTTGGGGAAAACTACTTAGTTTTTGATTTTGGCCTTTACTTTTTTATTCTTATAATTTTATGAGATTAAAAATTATATAATGGGAATTGGTACAAGTGCTTCTAGGATGCATGATCTGAGATAATCTGTGGTTAATGAAAACTAATTTGGAATTTAAATGTTTGGCAGGCTCCTGATGCCTGGATAGGCCAAATGTTGAGAGTTCAATCTGAGATGACTTATGGAAATTCCAACAATGCCAAACCAAAATTTTACTCGATTATTCTGTCCTATGGCTATGCAAAAGTAGACTGGGTAGATTGGAATTAGATTTAGGTTACAAATGCATTTTGCTGTACTATTTGATGGAATTGGGATGAAAGTAGAGAGAAAAATAGTAACCTCTTAAACATTTTGGGGATTTTTTTCTTTTTTTGACTTGAGCAGACAATCTTCTAGAAATGGGGTATTTTGCCACACTGCTATGCATGGAATTGTCTCATGAGTGACGGCTATTTCTGTAGCAATAGAGTCCTCTAAGCCACACCCCAGCAAGCAGACATCTGAGACTCATCACCGTAGAACTGGTGATAAAAATTGGAAGTGGGGAAATGGTAAGAGAGACAATGAGGAGCAGCCTCTAAGTCATAGCCAACGTGATGGTAGAGAGAGGAGCTTTTCAAACTTCACACCCTGTGTAGGGGCTGATAGGAATAAAGGCAGAGCTGAGCCTTTTGACAGTTTTAACTGTGGAGACTTGGGTTATTGAATTGATGGACTTCTGAGCAGTTAAAATCACTAGGCTTTTGACAAGTTAAACTGCTGGGGCTTTGGGCAGTTAGAACTGCCGAGGATTTTTTGGCAGTTAAGCTGTTGCCTTCTAAGAGTTAAACCACAAGTGAGGAGGTGTGTCTGTGGAGAAGCCACCAGATTGCCACATGTGGCTTTGGCTTGGACCCCTTTCTCTGCTCAGTGGATGCTGTCTGGGTTAGGACAGATGGCATCTGGCCACGTGATATCCTATAAGTACTCTTTTTCACCTTGTGTAAATAAATAAATCCTGTTACTGTTTCACACGGTGCCTGCTTTTGGGTTGTGTGTTGCAATCATAAGTTGGTGGATGGAGACCCACTAACAGGTCAGTCGATCCTCAAACTGGTTTGCTCAGTTTCAATAATATTTGTATTGTTTATGATTTACATACATTTATTAAATAGAAAGAGATTTTGTGTTTTATATTCTTCGCAGAATCACAAAAGAAGCTTGTACAGATGCAGCCAAGGAATCGTGTATTGCTCATCATTCGTGAAGCAAGTATTTATTGAACTCTTAATGGTGAACTGGTAGCCTCTTGGGAGCTTCAAAGACTTAGACAACCTCCTGGTTCTGGGAGAAATAGAAGTATGTCACTGTTAGAGAGGTTTCTCTTGAAACAGAGGATGGAGCCACTAACTCCATCTGGTCAAGAAGGTCTAGGAAGGCTTCCTAGAGGCAGTAATGTTGGAATTAGTGTTTCAGGGCTGAATAGGAGTTTATCAGAGAGGACTTTTCACAGTCTAATAGTAAGGTAGGAAATAGGTGGCATTCCTCATTTGATATATACTGCAGGTGTACACAACAGGGTCAAAATGGGTTTATTTACAAAAGGATAAAAGAACAGGAAACAACTGGAATATATTACCGACTAGGCCAACTTGGAGCTCTGGTAACTAACTGAAAACCCCGAGTCATGTGGTCCAGAGAGCCATTTCCTGAGTGAGAGAGTGGGAGACACAATGGTGCCCTATTTATCCCCCAGTGTCCCAGAATACCTGCTTAGCTCTGCCCTTGGGTCCTTGCAGTTTTCTCCCTGGTACTGCAGGGAATTGTAGTTTTCCAATCACTGGAGTAGGGGGTAGAGTCCAGAAAGCTGGAGTAGGGAGTGGAGTCCACAACACTGCAGAGTTCCTTTAGGACATCTTCCCCTTAACACTACCTTTTACCCAAATTCTTTCCTCCACATCCTGGCTGCCTTTCTTTGTCTGGGAGACAGTTCTGTTTACAACCCTTCCTTCTTTACCTTTCCCCTCCCACTTATTTTCAGCTAAACTAAAAAAAAAAAGAAAAAAAAACAACAACAAAAAACTATACACAGTTTTTGAATAGGTAGTATATTCAACAGCACAAAATTCAAGGCATGCCTGAAATTGATTTTTTTTTCCTTAGCCTTCCTAAAATAATTTAAGGCATTTCTTTTTTATTATTATTTTTTTTTCTTTTTTATTATTTTTGATTGGACAGGGCTAGACTAGTGAAAAAGCACAAAGTTATTTCAAATTCAGAATAGAAAATTACTTCAAAAAGTATATTTGTATGTCCCCAAATATATTAATGTTGACTTTCATGCATTCAGTTCTTTATATTAGAGAGAATAATATTTTGGGATTCAAAATTCTTACTCATTTATATTGAGGCCTAATTTTGACTTATATTTGTACGATCTTGTGTTTTTTAGACACTAAACTCTAGTAGGGGAGAGCTTGTAAAACCAAAATCTAGCATAGCCCTTGGCAGAGTGGACGCAATAACTTGGTGAGTGAATGTTGCTGGAAGCCCAACTTCTTTAACACCAGGTAAGAGGCTAGTGAGAGAATGAAAGAGCTATGTGACTGAGATTAGAGGTGAGAAGGAATCTTACTTTGCACTGGAAGAACTTCAGTTACTTTTGAGTTGTGATCCATGAATGTCAGTTATTTTTTTAAAAATTTAAGACCTGAGGCCCTCCCTGGTGGCGCAGCAGGTTAAAGCACAGCACTAAGAAGCTAAAGCCACTTCCGCATGAGTTCAATTCCCGCCTGCCCCGGAGGTGACCACATGGCGTGGCAGACCTCTCCTGACCCGCCTGCTGCTCCTCTCAGCAGTGTACTTTGTCGATCTGCCTGTTCTGTTCCCCACTCTGTCTCTGGTGAAGCCTCTCACCACCCCTGAGCCTCTGGCCTGTACCCCAGTTCTGTATGCACAAATAAATAAATCTTAAAAAAAAAAATTTAAGAT